TTTTTTTTTTTTTTTTTTTTGTAAAGAACTTGTTTAAAAGATATCACCTCTGCTATGAGCCCTGATTGCTTTTTCCTCTAGACTGACATGGCTACAACCTGGATACCTGCCCCCTGTGCAGCACCCACGAAGTCAGCAGGGCTCGGCAGCGAGGTCCACCTTGCAGAGCTGGGGGGAGAAGGGAGCGAGTGAAGGGGCGTGAAGAAAAGGAGCGATGGGGCCCGAGCAGCGGACGAAGGTGAGGAGACGTGGGGGTGTGAGACAGCTTCTGCCAACCTCGCTCCCCACGATCACTCTTCATGGGCAGCATTTCATATCTGCTTGGCCCTGTGTGTGTTTGCACGCGGGCGTGTGTGGGAGTGACAGAGAGCCTCTGCTGTACTGAAACTCCCGTGACCCCAGGGAACATCTCTACGCACTGAAATTGCTGATAAAAACCTGCCACGCTGATGGTGGCGGAAGCGCGATGTGGGGGGGACCCAGGGGGAAGTGTCACAAGGACAGATAAGTGAAGAAATGACACCTCTAGGCAGCAGCTTTCCTGTCGGCACCTCACCCTGCCTCCCATTCACAGGAGGCGGCTGCCCCTCTCATAAGCCACTCGGTGCCCTTTGTGAAGCCGCAGCCTAAATGGCAGCTCTCAGGATAAATCATGACAGATCTGTCGTGTGCATTGGGCTGGCCTGGCTCTAGGGACAGGGACTTGAACCACATGCTTTCACAGCTTTATTATACACCTGCACCTGGGCGAAATGATGGAGCCTTGGCATGTTTCTCGTCTTGGGTTTAGTTACAAATCTCCCTCTCCAGCTCTGCCAGCCAAGGGAGAACGAAGGCTTGCTCGGGTTAGCAAGGTGCTGCGTCCTGTTCCTCCGCACGTGGGCACATCCAGCTGTAATGACAGGCCCTGGCTGTCCGGTCTGGCTGCCCCAAAGGCACAGGGAGCATGAAGGGAGTGCAAGCAGTGGTTAGAGCAGGGGTTGGTAGGCAGGACGCTCACCGCTGGCGTATGCCAGGGAGATCTGTGCCCCTTTTACCTTGTGGCAGTGCATCTCCATCAGTGCAGCTACCCTGGCACATGCACCTCAAGCATCCAGGCCTTTAGCCAGGGGTGGGCACAGGGAGCCCATGACCTAACTTAGCTTCTCAGACACCTTTATGCAGCTCAGCAGCTCCCATTTCATCCTAGGCTCCTGCTTTCACCAGGCAAAGGGCCGTGTCTTGAGCTGGGGGCAGCTGAACCCCAGCCATGGTCCCCAGGCCTCTTCTGAAAAACCAGCCACCATTTATCAGCACCCAGGCATATTTCCTCCATGCCATGCAGTTGATACTCAGCACCATAACCAGAATCATCTCTGGGATAAAAAATACCTCCATCCAGGGGATCCATTCACTGCCCCCACCCCTCCCCATACTAACTCATCCTAGGGCACGAAGTGCGTGATGTCACGAGCGCATAGACAGCATCCTCCCTGCCAGCAGAGCTATGCTCGTCAGCAGTGTTCATCACGCTACATATAATATCAGACTAGGAAGAGCTCATGCTGCATGGGATGTTTCACGAAATCAGATCATTTTAAAATAAAAGCACCCGGCTCCTTTGAACGGTGCTCTGTAGTTTGGATATCCTCGGCATTACGAGATGGGAACACAGGACTACGAGTTACAGCACCTGGGTTGTGTCCCCACAGTCCTAAACATCGCGTCATATTGTGTTTCAAATTAGCCAGCGATAAAATGCTCCTGATGATAACATGGCGATGACCTACTCGACACAGCAGGAAAGAAAGTTGGTTTGAAACATCACATTTTGACCCAAAATGGAGGAAATGGGCTAATATTTTTGCAAATGTTATAGCTCTACTGCCTAGTAGGTGCCTATGCCACCACGCTGTATTGCCCAGTGGGTACGTGCAGCTAGAATTAGTCATTCAATTGTGTGTCATAAGCCCTCTACTTGCTAGAGATGCCCCTGTGGATCAGGTACTGAAGCCTTGCAGTTTTGCAACAAGAAGCTCTGAGTTCACAGAATCATAGAAAACGATCTGCAAGGTCCCTTCCAGCCCTTAGCAGCTATGAAACGATGAAAAGTTGGGCTGGAAGGGACTTCTGAAGGCCATCTAGTCCAGCCCCCTGCCTGAGGCAGGATCATCCCGATCCAAACCATCCCAAGCAAATCCGCATCTCTCCTATTACTAAAATGACACTAGCAATCCTGCCACACCGCTGCAAAGAATAGCCTCCTAATCTACCACGGGTAAAGTAGAGGCTGTGCAGAGACAACAGTGATGTCTGAGGAGACTTCCTGAAAAGCTTACTCAAAGGAAGAAAATGTGGGATGAGATTGGAGCGTGGCTATGCTAGGTACTGCATATGCAGATCATGTCATGCATGCCACAGAAAATGTGCAGAATAACTGAGTAAATGGGACAGGGAAACAGAAGTGAGTTGCCCAGACCCTACTGCAGATCTTGGCCCCAACAGACTGGCCAAGCCCCGAGCTGCCGGGTCCCGAAGTGCGAGCAAGCACTGTCCTGAACGGGCGTTATCCCAAAGCAGGGTCCAGCATGGTCTGGACGGACGGCCTGCAGCCAATGAACCCGTTATTTGATAACAGGTGGCCAGAAAGGTGGCACGGGACGGCTTAACCTCACCAACAGGGACATCATCCCACCCCGGCAAACTGCGGGCCAAAGGGTGAAGCAATCTTGGCTCTGTCACCGTGTCTCCCCTCATGAGTTATAGCTCACGGTCTCTCTAATGAAGACAAATGCATGCAACTGTCCCCCCCCTCCCCGCTCCATATTTGAGATATAAATATTCATAGCCCAGGAAGAGGGCAGGGAATACGGGAGGGCTCATAAAGACAAAAAATATTTTAAATAGAAATGACTGCAGCAGAAAAGTGACAGTCATAAATGGCCGGGAACCACGACCGGGAGAGCTGGCAGGGGGCTGACACACCTGAGCTGCTGCCGCCGAGCACTTTGCTACTGTTATATGAGCATCCAGCTCTGGTCGAGAGCCCAGGAAAGGACAGCTATAACCTGCTAGTCCCGTCTGTCCCCCCGCAACACCCACGTCCCTGGCTCAGGCCAGGAACAGATGCTCTTTGGCATAAGTGGAAGTGTCTTATAGCATGACTCACTGGTGAGGATGCTACACATCCCCTCCGGTCTCGGTCTGCGGAGGACATGAGTCGGAGGATGCTTGACTACTCGGGCAGTAGCCGCTGATGTGCTCGGCGGGTTCGGTCCCGGTGACTCTCATGCAACAGGACCTGCCGGGATGGAAGCTGCTGCTGCCACCCTTACAGTGAAAAATGGCATTGCTGACTCCTTTGGATCAACCCCGTGACTGGATTACTGCTAAAGGAGAGTTTACAGACTGGACCATGTGCCAGACAGCAATTACACCAGGCAGCGTTATTGAGTCCTGTCCACAGGGAGCGGGACCCCCAGGTGCGGGATTTGCAGGCAGTTGCCCCCATCACTGTCTGCGATGTCAGTCAAACTGCGCGCTGGGTTTGACTGACAACCGCACCCCCGCACCACCCACCTAGGACCGCCATTCAGTTCCCAAGCATCCCTGAATGAACTGGCTGCAACTGGTCAAGCATAAGTGGTAAACCAGGGGCACCTTCAAAGACGTCATACCAACCCCTCACCTCCAAAATGCACGGCACACCCCAAATTTCCTGAGTGCTAGGCAATGCAGACGCCCTGTTAGGCAGATGGCACAACCCTGTGGCCATCTTTATATAACACACATCCACAAGACAGAGCTCCCAAATCCAGTAGGCCCAGCCTTCTCCTCGTGTCTGAAGGAATGAGGAGCTGGAAGCAGACCGAGTTCCCACCCTGCATATCCAGACC